AGTGGTCGTTTGCAGTGTGGAGTTGCGGCGTCGGGAGCTGTGTAGTTGTCGATAAATATGTTGTTGTTATTTCATGGGGCTTCCAGGTGTTTGCAGTTTTTTGACGGGTGCCATCGTGGGGGCGTGTTACCCGTGGTATCCCGCTGTGGGGCCGTTCGAACCCGGGGAAGAGACATCTTATGCGATAGGGGAACCCTCGTTTGGAGGGTGGCGGGCTTTGAATGCTACCATTGGCTCTGTTATCGTCCTGATGTCCTCTGGCGTTGCGGACACGGGCGTGAAGGAACACTTTCTTGTGGCGTTTCTCTTCCCATCTCCTTTCTAATTGGACCCCCTCCCTACTTTTTCTTTCTTCCCTTCGGTGAGCTAGAGAGAAGGGGGCCGGTAGCAGCGGAGGGAGGCGGGAGTGCAGAGGCGGTAAAAGGACGACGAGGAAGGGGAGCAGGAGGAGCAGGAGCAGGAGGATGAGGAGGACGAGGAGGAGGAGGAGGAGGAGGAGGAGGAGGAGGAGGAGGAGGAGGAGGAGGAGGAGGAGGAGGAGGAGGAGGAGGAAGAGGAGGAGGAGAGTAAGGTTTGGCCCGAGCGGCCCGATCCTAAGGTGGAGAGGGCCCATTTTGGCGGGCCGAACCTCAGGCGCGCGCGCCTCGGGCGCCGCGATTCCGCGCCCAGGGCGCGCAGCAGCGTGGCATCGGAGGCAGCGTGCCAAGCGGCACGAGGCACGATTACTTCTCTCCCTTGTCCGCGCGCGGCAGCTCTTAGGGGCTCATCATTCGGCACAACGGCCCCAGAAAGCAATGTCGCTTGGTCGGTGGAACTGCCCGTGCGGGCGGTATGTGAAGGGCCACAAGCTGTGCCTCTGCGGGCAGGCATACGAGAACTGGGTGAAGGAGGACCAGTCGGCTGCGAGGCAGCGCGGCGGCGGCGGCGTGCAGAACGCCTTCCCCAACGCCGACAGGGCCGTAGACCAGTCTCGGAGGCAGCAGGAGGGGAGGCAGCGGCAGAGAGACCGTCAAAGGAGTGCGAGCCGCGCAGCCAGAAGGGAGGCGCAAGCGGCAGGCAAGGCGGTGAAGACCTACGTCAGCCGAGTGGTGCCAATGACGAAGGCGGAATCGGTGGACTACGAGTACTACGCGGAGGCGTCGTCGCCAGACGCTATAGTGCAGAAGAACGTCCCAGACGAGACGCGGATGAAGATGCTGGAAGTCGCCAAGATGGCGATGGGAGCACGTCGTGCGGGCGAAGCAGAGGATGTGGCGAGGTTGGACACGAAGCCGAGTGTGTACAAATGTATGATGGGCAGCACGATGCCGACGGATACACAATTGGTGGAGATGAAAGCCAAGAGGGAGAAGGCACTGGAGCGCCTGAGGAACACGAGAGCGCGGATGCATATGTTCGAGGAGCAGGAGTCGGAGATCCTAGACGAGCTGGGGCGGCTGCAGGAATACATCGTGGAGCTCGAGGAGGCGCGCCGAGAGGAGGAGGCCGAGAACCACGTGCGGGACGTGCACATGGGTGGTGGCGGGCGGTCGCAGTCGCAGCAGCAGCAGGCATCCGCTGCGCCTGGCGGTGCGACGGCGGCCCCGCAGCATGGCGCTGCGGCGGGCACGGCGCCAACGGACTCAGTCGCGGTGATGATGCAGCAGATGATCATGCGCATGGAGCAGCAGGACAGGCAGGTGAACTTCGTCATGCAGGCGATGGTGTTTCATCAGCCCAGTGCGGTGCCACCAGGGCCGCCGCCTGGGGCGGCAGCGGCGCCGCCCGTGGCGGCGGGCCTGCGGCCTGGGGCGGCGGAGCCGGCTGCCGTGGCGGCTGCGAGGGCGGAGGCGACGCCCGTGTTCCCGCCCATGCCGCCGCCGATGGGCATGGCCGAGGCGATGGCGAGGCAGGCCGAAGAGACGGCAATGAGGAACATGCAGCTCCAGCAGCAGCAGGGGCGCGAGGCGGCGGCGGCAGCGGCAGGGGCAGCGGTGGCGGCGGGCCCTGCACCGAGGACACCGACGGCGAGGACAACAGGGGCGGCTTCCACGCCAGGAGCGCCGTCGAAAGAGGCGAGCCCGTTCCATGTGGACTCCGCCCCGCCGCCAGCGCAGCGGACGCCGGCGTGGGGCATGCCGACGCCGATGGGGCGCTCGCCCACATCCCCAGCTGGCACGCAGCCCGCGGCGGCGGTAGCGCCAGAGGTGCCGCCGACAGCCGAGGAGACGCCAGTTCCGACGGAGCCGAGCCCGATCTCGACGACGCAGGAGATGGTCGCAGGTTTGCTCTCGGGGGACCTCCCCGACCCGTGCATGAGCCAACGCAGTGCAGAAGGAGGTCAGGAAGATCGACGAGGCGTGCGCCGCTGGCGACGGGATGATCCGATCCCCGCCGAGGAAGGAGGGCAGGGGCCACGCCCAGGCATCAGCGATCGACGGCAGGATGGAGGCGGGTGTGGGGGCGGCAGTGGGCGCGGCCACGAGTGCAGCTTCGACAGGCGGAGCGTGACCTGGAGCGACCACCTCGTGCAGGTGATCGAATTCGAGTGCAGCTCCGACACCGGCTCGACGGGTTTGGACGTGCTGGGGGCGCTTTCTGATGATGTTTCGGATGAGAGCAGCGGCTATGATTCGTGTGAGTCTGGTGGTGGGTGCGATGATGGCTGTTATCTGAGTCATCTGAAGTACCAGTGCGACCGCGAGAGCAGGTGGCTCGGCAGGCGGGATGGGCGCCCAACTTCGGCTACCACCAGCACCTCGGGTACCTCAGCGCGATCAGGTCCTACGTCATCTGTGTGGTCAGGCGATGGCAGTAGGGGCGGATGCTACAGCGCTGTGCAGTTCTGGCAATATTCTCCAGGGGACTCGGATCCTGGGCTTTTGACGTTGCGGCCTGCGCAGGCCAGTGCTTGTTTTTCGTTTGCGGGGTCCTCGGGTTCGGAGTCTGTTAAACACCTGGCTCTCTGCCCCCATTTTTGCCGATTGGGCGGAGGCCAGGAAGGCGCGTCGGCCGCGCGGTGCGAAGCGCAGTCTGACGAGTGGGATGTCTTGTCGGAGCAGCGCTCTTTTGATGCTGATTTTCGGTGCGAGTCTTGGGGCGGAGGGTCGACGCGTGGGCGGGGTGAGTGGGCTGTCTTGGACCCCGTAGCCTGCGCGGAGGCCCCCCGAGAGCACCAGCAAAGTTCGTGCGGCTGCCCCAGCTCTGCCTGCGCGAGCGCTCCTGCCTCTTGTGTGTGGGCGGCAAGCCCGCCGAACCCTCCAGAATTTCGCCGAGAGGGGGGGGGCGCGGCTTTGCCTGCCAGCATCGGGGAGGTGTGGGGCGGTGGGATGCGGGTGGGGTGGGATGGGACACGTGCTGTCGCAGCGGCTAGTGCAGCGGGCGCAGCGGAGATGGCCCTCAAGAGCCGTGCCCAGTCTGTCCGCGCAGCTAGCAGCGATGCCGATCTGGCGGGCTGGATCCTGGCCCCGACCGAAGAGTGCAGCGAGGCGGGCCGTTTGGGCCTGCATCGCCGCCCGTGTGGAGAGGACGGGGGGGGGGGGGGGGGGCGGTCGGGGCGGCTCGGGAGTGGGGCTGGGAGAGGGTCAACACCTCCGACGCGAGCGTTGGCGGTAGGTGCAGGACCGCTCCAGCCAGTTGGCCTGGCTGCTCTGCCGCCGCCGCCTAGGGGCAGAGCAGGTCTGCTTCGAGCGTGAGTGCCAGTGCATATTTTTGCGAGGGTCTCGCTGCGAGCACATCGCGCCCTCATGGCGCGCGCGCGGGCCAGAGGCGCGCTCGGGAACAACATGCACTCCAGGCAATTTCTATCTTTAATGCGCTCTATGGCGACAGCTCGCCAGGAGAGCGAGCAGGCCGCCCAAATCAGGAAGCGGGTCCGATAACGGGGGATATCGAGTCCTGGGCCGTGTGTGTGTGTGTGTGTGTGTGTGTGTGTGTGTGTGTGTGTGTGTGTGTGTGTGTGTGTGTGTGTGTGTGTGTGTGTGTGTGTGTGTGTGTGTGCGTGTGTGTGTGTGTGTGTGTGTGTGTGTGTGTGTGTGTGTGTGGTGTGTGTGTGTGTGTGTGTGTGTGGTGTGTGTGTGTGTGTGTGTGTGTGTGTGTGGGGGGGGGGGCGCTGCCTGGTGCTGCCCTTTCGAGCCCCCGAGGTTTTTTTTTGGAGGTGTGCCATGGAATATCAGGTCAGATCAGGCCATGCTTCGAGGTCCAGGGGCTCCTGGGGGAGGGGATACACGAGGCGGCAGCTGCGGCGCTCGTCATGGCGCCAAGGAGGCCCATAGTCCCACAAAGGCTGTACCTGTACACGGACGGATCGGCACCGCAAGGGGGGGGGGGGGGGGTCAATCTGTTGATGGTCTGCTGTCCTGATAGGCGAGGACAGAGAAGGTCTTGCCTTCATGGGGGCGATCTTCGGCCAGACATCGTGCCCCCCCCCCCCCCCCCAGGGGGCTTCAAGGGGAGGGGCGCAGCCCAGCGCCTATGTTGAGTTGGCGGCGATTTGGCGGGGGCTGGTCTGGATCTCGCAGTTCCCCTCGGAGGCCCCGCTCGTTTTGACGACTGATGGCAAGATGGCCCAGTTTCTCTCTTCGGGGGTGTATGCGGCGGGGACCCGCGAACAACTGGTTAGAATGCTTAGGGTGCTGCACGCGGCTACAGAAGCCGACAGGGGGTTGACCATTCTGTGGACGAAAGGTCACGGCGGGGACCCATGGAATGAGTTAGCGGATGGACTGGCAGGGTGGGCCTCGACTCACAGTGACACGCCGTTGGAAGAAGTAGATGCGGGGGAGCTAGATTTCCGTGTCGCTTGGGAGTGGGAGTGGCTCCGTAGAGCAGACCAGCCCACTTTGGCAGCCTACCCCACCCTGGGGGGAGAGGGGTTCAGCGGCCCCATCAGGAGGGGGGGGTGTCCATCGGCGACAGCGGAGGAGGAGCTCCCCAGCCGCCCTCAGTCGAAAAGTGTTGCCATTGAATTGCACTGTGCGTCTTTCAATGCCTGTGCTCTTGTTGAGCGCGAGGCGGCGTTGATGTACAAGGCCACGCGGAGGAAGGTACCTCCCAACCGCGGAGAGCACCTCCGGGCCCAGTTCGAGCTGACAGGCCTGCATATTGTCGGCATTCAGGAGTCCAGGTTCCCGAAGGGCAAATGGGTCGCGGGGCCGTTTCTGACCGTGTCAGGGGGTAGTGATCGCGGGAACTTAGGCTGTGCCATCCTGGTAGCCCTGAAGAGACCCTTCGGCGTTTCGGGGGGGAAAGAACAGTTTTTCAAACCAGGGGACGTGTGGGCAATATACGCGGACCCTAGGGTGCTCCTAGTGAAGTTCAATCACAGATGTTTCACGGCGACGGTGGTGGTGGCGCACGCGCCGCACCACCGCAGACCGAGGTTTGAGCGGGAGGCGTGGTGGGAGCAGTGTGAGGATCTCATTGCTCGGTGGACCCCCGACCTCCTCCTCATTGATGTTAACGGGAAGGTGGGCTCTATAGTCTCGGAGGCAGTGCGGTGTGAGGGGGGGGGGGGGGGGGGGGGGCGGCCCAGCCGGAGAAACAGGATGAGAACGGGGAGAGGTTTCACGGTATTTTACAGCGTCAAGGGCTACAGGCCCTCAGTACCTTGTTCGAGCATGGGGCGCCCCGCACTTTCATGCCCAACAAAGGGGAGATGAAGCGGATTGACTTCGTAGCAGCAGGGGGCACGTTGGCACCTCATTGCGTGAAGGTGGAGGTTGACCATGCCATCGACGCGATGATGAGCGGGTGCGATCACTCCCCTGTCATTGCGAGGTTTAAGTTCGTATCGGAGCTGTCCCGTGGGGGGAAAGGCAAAGGGCCCCTGGGCCGTCTCAAAATGAAGCTTCCAGCTTGCGTCCAGCGTTTTACCGCAGAGTTGGGGGCCTCGCCACTGCCTGAGTGGGGGATGTCAGTCGGCGACCGCGCCGCCCAGGTGACGGAGTGCTTGCAGAGGGCTGCCAGCCAGGCATTCCGTCGTGACGGCCTCGCGTGTTCTGCGGGCGCTAAGAGACTTCAGGACGGCTAGTAGGGTGCAATTGCGGCTTTTGGTGGCTCATTGGGGTAGGGGGGAGCTCGGTAGTGAACGGTGCTGGGTGGCCCTTCGCCAGGCTGCCGAGATTGGGTTGGCTTTGGAGCTGTGGACCAGCGGGGGGGGGGGTGGGCGGGTGCGGCGGATGCTGCGGCAGCTGGGCGGAAGTTTTTGGATGGGGGCAGGGGCCCGCTCCGCACCGCGCTAGAGGGGGGCAAAGTGCATCGCGCGACGCAGCTCGCTGAGGAGGTGGGGGCGGCCTACGGCAAAAAAAGACCCCACGGCCTGTTGGGGGGGGGGTCAAGAGGTTGATGAGAGCTGGCGGTTGGGTTCCCCCGAAGTACAAAAGGTGCGGGGGCCCTTCCCCTCAGGACGGGCCCGCAGGGGCAGCCAGTGCTCGCGCAGCAGCGTTGGGATGAGCTGCTTTCTGACATGTTTGCCGCGACTGAGGGGGCCAAGGTGATCCCTTCCGCCGAGTTGCGACAGCTTTTTGAACCCTCGGAGCTTGCCCTGCCCCTTGACTTTGAGCGCTGTATCGAGTATGTGCCGACGGACCGTTGGGTCATTGATAAGCTACGCAAGTTGCCGCAGGGGAAGGCTCCAGGGCTGGGCGCGATTACGTTTGACCTCCTGCGGGCCGCGCCACCGGAGGTAGCGAGGGTCTTGCATCCTCTGTCCACGAAGGTGTGTCTGGGGGGTGTCGAGCCGTCGTCGTTTAAAGAAGCCCTCGCCTGCGGTATTTACAAAGGTAAAGGGTCCTGGGGGATTCGGGAACACTTCAGGTCGGTGGCTCTGAAAATGTGGTGCCCAAGGTGCACTATGCCTTCGTCCGTCAGTGTATGAATAACTTTGTGTCCGATCTGTTGCGGGACTCAAAGTGCGGCGGAATTCCAGGCAGGGGGCAGCCTTCGCCACGCGTGCCCTCCTGTCGTTCGTGCAGCATATGAAGCATGTGAAGAGGTCAATGTTTGTACCAATGCTTGATGTTGTGAGTGCCTTCTACAGCATGGTTCGAGAGCTCGTGATTCGGTGCCGTCGTCGGAGGAGGATCGTGAGGAGCTGTTGGGGGCCATGGCTATTCCCGAATGGTTGGTGCGTCGCTCAAGACGGCCCTAGCTGCCCCCCCCCATTTTGGAGGGGAGGGTGCCCCCCCCACCTGGAGAGGCTTCTCGCGGAATCGCAGAGGGGGGCGTGGCTCTGTGTTGGCGATCCTTCGAGAGCTGCGGTGGCCCGCAAGGGTTCGAGGCCAGGCAATTCGTTGGCCGACTTCTTCTACAATGTCATGTTCACTTTCGTCCTGGGGGATGCGGATGCGAGACTGGCCCATGAGGGCCTGTCCGTCGCGCTAGGGGGTCCCGAGCAGGAAGGGGTGCTGCTCCCTGTCCAACAACAGGACGGCACACTCGTGGATTCGACGTATGCGGATGACGCGGTCTTCCCGTGCGTGCCTGCCTCAAACGAGACACTCGTGCACGACGTCCAGAAGGCTGTCTTAGACAGTGGTCGAGGCAGTGGGGACGTACGGGTTGGCCTACAGTTTTAAAAACGATAAGGCAAAGGTTCTGGTCGCTATCAGGGGTAGGAATAAGCAGTGGACGGAGCGGCACCTCTTTGTTGAGAAGGAGGGGCGGGTGTACCCCCCCGAGCTTGATGCGCGCATGCAGGTGGTTCGGCAGGAGAAGTCCCTTGGCACTATTGTTTCGGGGGACCTGGATTGGGGCCCAGAGGTGGCCCAGAGGAAAGCTTTTGCTCTGGCCCCCCTGCGGCCGCTGACGCGGGCGGTGTTCAAGGCCCCGCAGATCCCACTGGCCCCGAAGTTGCAGCTTGCGGGGTCCCTCGCCTTGTCTTGTCTTCTGTTCAATGCTGGGCTCTGGCACGGGGTCGGGGCCAAAGCGTGGGCATCTCTAAAGGCTACATGCACCGACGCTCTTCGGCGTGCACAGGTGGTGGATATGAGAGGCGCGGCCAGTGAGAGGTCTGCCCCTTCCCTGGAGGAGGTGCTCTATGGAGCCGTGAGGGCTCCATTAGACAGCCATCTGTGGTACCGGCGCCTGGTGTACCTCCCCCGCCTGCTGCGCAAGTCGCCCAGGCAGCTCCTGTGGGTGCTCGACGGCCAGTTCCAGCAGCAGGCTTCGTGGAGCCATAGGCTCATCGGTGACATAAATATTCTCAGGCAGTTCACCCCCAGTGCGGAAAAGCTACCCCAGGCATGGCAGGAGGCGATAGCTCTTGCCAGGTCGCTCCCCCTAGTGTTCGTGCGCATTGTCCGTGTGGCGTGGAAGGGGCGGAGGTTCTTTCTGAGAGATGATTGCCATCGGAAGATGTGGCGGCGTGAACTTTGCGCGACAGCCCTAGAGGCTGGGCTTCCCCTCCCCCTTCGGACGGGTCCCCAGGTGTGAGCGGGGAGGGTTTCACTGCTACGAGTGCGGTCGGGCCTTCAGAACGGCCCAGGGATGGAAGTCGCACTTGAGTAAGGTACACCCCGAGCTAGACGAGCCTCAGCGGTTTGCTCGCGGATCGGTGTGTGCCGCGTGCTGCACGGGGTATCATGCGCGGCTGAGGCTCGCGAGGCACCTCAGGCGCAGGTGTGGGGGCTGTCTTCGTTCACTGCGGGGCTTCTTCGCCCCTCTCTCTGATGCGGACCTTGCGGCCGCCAAGGATGAAGACGCGACCGACAGTCGTCGGTTGCGCGCGGCTGGTTTTTTTTTTTTTTGTTTTTTTTTTTTTTTTTTTTTTTTTTTTTTTTTTTTTTTTTTTTTTTTTTTTTTTTTTTTTTTTTTTTTACGAGGAACAAGCGCTGCTGCCTGCAGTCAAGATCTTAGGGCCTGGTATCCCTCTGGTGAGGGAGATGGATGAGCAGGGCGAGGCTGGTGAAGCACCAGTCGGGGGCCCCGCTCATGTCCCCCCCCCGGTGCCCTTGCAGATGAGGAAGCGGCCGCGGAGGCCTCCCCGCCCGTCCCAGCGCGTGCAGGTCCTGGAGATGAAGCGGCCGAGTCGGCCGCCCTGGTATCATCCGCTGAGAGGGAGGAGGAGGACAGGGGGGGGCGGACCTGCATGCGCGACACGGCCCTGACAGAGGGAGGCTCAGCTATTTTTTTGTGCTGCATTTGTTCTCAGGTAGGAGGAGGTGGTGGGATGTGCAGCATTGGATGGAGGAGCTGAACGCATGTGCTCAGGAGTCTAGACCCTTGTGGGTCCTTTCGCTTGACGTGGCTAACGACCGCGTGTGGGGGGACCTCTCGAGGGAGGAAGCGATCCGCTACTGGCTTGGCCTTATGGCCTCGGGGGTTGTTGTAGCGGTGCTCGCGGGGCCGCCCTGCGAAACGTGCTCGGCGGCGCGGTTCCAGCAGTTAGAAGGGGGACAGGGTCCTCGACCAGTTAGGAGCCGCGCTCGGCCGTGGGGAGAGTGGGGCCTGACGGTGAAGGAACAGCGCCAGGTCGAGATCGGGAACCTCCTTCTCACAACGACGATGAGGTTTCTGACCGCCGCGGTGGCCACCAGGGCGCGCATGATTATGGGGCGCCCTGCTGTCCCTCACTGGCAGCCATTGGCTGCGTCGAGCTGGAAGCTGGAAGAAATGGCGTGGATCAGGAGTCTCCCAGGAGTCACCGCCCATGATATCGACCAGTGTATGTTCTCGTGTGAGTATCTCAAGCCGACGACTCTGCTGTCGGTCAATATCCCAGGGTTCCAGCGGATGTTGAACAGTATCCCAGGGCGAGGGAGGTGTCAGCATAGGAGGGGTCACCCCGAGGCCACAGGACGATCGGGGGGATAGTATCGGACCGCTTCTCTGAAGGAGTACCCATCAGCTCTGTCGCGTTTCCTCGCGATGGTTGTGTTTGATGCGGTTTCTCCAGGATTGCCTAATGCTCTGCCTGGCTATGACATTCTGGAGGAGGCTCTGAACTTTTACGTTCCCCTCGACCCGTTTTATGAGTTTGTGCAGCAACACGACTGCGCACTCGGCGGGGCGGTGAGGTGAGGCCCCTCCCTAATTCACGTTGTGGACGATTCGGAACTCTCCTTTCATCGGTGCAGCAGCAGCAGCAGGAGGAGGAGGAGGAGGAGGAAGGAGGAGGGGGATGAGGAGCGAGGAGGAGCGCCTTTGTCGTCGTCGTCGTCGCCGCCGCCGCCGCCCGCCGCCGCCGCCCGCCGGCGTCGTCGTCGTCGTCGTGGAGGGTCGAGGCTCGAGGCTGGGGGCCGCACGCGGGGGAGGAAGACCACTCCGACTCGCGTTTCCCAAGTCGCGTCTGGCTGGAGTCTTGGAGGCGTCCCGGGGGCCTCCTGGGTTTTTTTTGGAGGCTTCCAGAGGGCCTTTTGGAGGCCTCTTGAGGCCTCTTGAGGGCCTCTTGGGGGCCTCTTGGGGCCTTTGGGGGCGTCTTGGGGCCTCCCGGGGGCCTCTAAGGGCCGAGAGCTCGAAATTCTGTTTCGTGAAGCCCCTCTTGGGGCGTTCTTGAAGCGTTCTTGGGGCCCTCTTGGGCCGTCTTGGAGGTCTCTTGGGCCGTCTTGGAGCCGTCTTGGGCCATCTTGGAGCCCTCCTGGGGGCCTCTTGGGCCCTCTTGGGGCGATCTTGGAGGCCTCTTGAGCCGTTTAGGGGCGTCGGGGAACCGAAAAGATTGAAATGCCCAAATCTGTCCAAAACCGATGGAAAGGCATTGTTTGTTTGCCTCTCGGGGCCCTTTTGGGAATGCACTTGGGGACCACCTGGGGATCTTGGAGGCTTCTTGGGTCATCTTGGAGACGTCTTGGGCCGTCTGGAGGCCATCTGGAGCGTCGTGGAACGATTCTCGGGCGTCTCGGACCTCTCTTGGACCGTGTTGAGGGCGTTCTTGGGGCCCTCTTGGGCCGTCCTGGAGGCCTCTGGGGCCGTCTTGGAGCCGTCTTGGGCCGTCTTGGGGCCCTTTTGAGGGCCTCTTGGGCCCTCTTGGGGCGATCTTGGAGGCCATTTTGAGCCTTTTAGGGGCGTCAGGGAACCGAAAAGGGTAAAACGCCCAACTCTGTCCAAAACCTAAGAAAAAACATTGTTTTGCCTCTTGGGGCCCTCTTGGGAGTTCTCTTGGAGGCCTCTTGGGGAATCTTGGGGGCTTCTTGGGCCATCTTGGAGACGTCTTGGGCCGTCCGGAGGCCATCTTGGGCGTCGTGGAGCGATCTTCGGGCGTCTCGGACCTCTCTTGGGCCGTGTTGGAGGCCTCTGGGGCCGTCTTGGAGCCGTCTTGGGCCGTCTTGGGACCCTTTTAAGGGCCTCTTGGGCCCTCTTGGGGCGATCTTGGAGGCCTCTTGAGCCGTTTAGGGGCGTCGGGGAACCGAAAAGGTTGAAACGCCCAACTCTGTCCAAAACCAAAGAAAAAACATTGATTCTTGCCTCTTGGGGCCCTCTTGGGAGTGCTCCTGGAGGCCACTTGGGGCATCTTGGAGGCTTGTTGGGTCATCTTGGAGACGTCTTGGGCCGTTTGTAGGCCATCTTGGGCGCCGTGGAGCGATCTTCGGGCGTCTCGGACCTCTCTTGGATTGTGTTGGGGGCCTCTTGGGGCCCTCTTGGGGCGATCCTGGAGGATCTGGGGGAGTGTCCCGGGCGTGTCTCGGGCGTGTCCCGGGCTCCTCTCGGGGTACTTTTGATCCAGGGACCCCCAGGGGCCGCCCCGCGCGCGAATCAGAAATACTGTTTACCAGTTACCGGAGATCTTAGCACGGCTCTGGCCCGGGGGGGGTGGGGGGGTCCCCTGAGTTTTTGTGTGGGGGGGGCGGGGGGGTCGCCTCCCGGAAAACACCAACATATCCGGAGAAGAAGCCCCGTCAAACCTCTCGAGCTGGGGTTTCCTGGGGGGGCTAGCCCGAACTGCGATTTGAATGGGTTTGCCGATCGCTCCTGGGAACCCACGGAAGAAAATGGTCAAACAATTTCTCTCTCTCTCTCTCTCTCTATGTATATAATATGTCTGTCTGTCTGTCTGTCTGTCTGTCTGCCTGCCTGCCTGCCTGCCTGCCTGCCTGCCTGCCTGCCTGCCTGCCTGCCTGCCTGTCTGTCTGTCTGTACGTATGTATGTATGTATGTATGTATGTATGTATGTATGTATGTATGTATGTATGTATGTATGAATATATATATATATATATATGTATATAGACTATCGTTGTATGCAGATATGTGATAAGTGGTATTTCGTTTTTTTCTCCATGTTCTCTTTGCGGGTTTCTGATGTTTTTTTTTTTTTTTTTTTTTTTTTTTTTTTTTTTTTTTTTTTTTTTTTTTTTTTTTTTTTTTTTTTTGTTTTTTTTTTTTTTTTTTTGTTTTTTTTTTTTTTTGTTTTTTTCTCTGGGGTTAGTTTTGTTTTTTAAGTATGGGGCCCGGCAAAACCCCCCGAACCCCCCAAGCTCCCCCCCCCGCCCCCCCGGGATCCAGGGGGACAAACCCCCGAAACAAAAACCCAACTCAGGTTTTTCTCTGGGGTTTCCCGGGGGGGGGGTCCAGAGAACTCCCACACCGGTGTGTGTGTGTGTGTGTGTGTGTGTGTGTGTGTGCGGACCTTTAGGGCGCCAAGTGCCGACGAGGCACCCTAATATCGCCCCAATGCAGCTTATACGAGCCCCCAAACGGACGGCCCACGCGATCCTTAAGGCGGCCCTGGACCCTAGAGGTCCCCAAGACAGCCCAAATGCGGCCCCTAGACGGCCCCGAGCACCCCCCCCCAAGATTGCCTGAAGAGGGCACCAGAAGCGTTCGAAATCGCAAAAAGGCCAACATGTTCTATGTGCCCACCAGCAAGGCCCCAGGCATGCCCCTGCGAGGCGTCCAAGAGGCCTTCCCAAGAGGCCCCGACGAAGCGCCTGAGGGTTCGATCTGTCCCCAAGTTCTCCCCCTAAAACACCACAGGAGGCTCTTCTAACAGGCCGCGCGTCGACAGCAAACCCATCCCCAAAGGCATTCAAACACCCTCCTCGCGTGGCTAGGCGAGGGGGAAGTCTTCTGGCGTGAGGTAGGGGTGGGGTAAACCCATCCCCAACGGGAAAGACGAGGGTCGGAAGAGTAAATGCTCTCAGCCGCCTCAGCCCAGAGGGCTGGTGGGATTGAGGTCCGACTCGGCACCCGCACCGGTGAATAGAGGCATCATATAAGCAGCGGATGTAAACGGTCACCGCCCACCAAAGCACCCCAACCCAACGCGAAGGCTCTGATTTGAACTCTATTTCCTGTGGGGCGGGCGTCAGGGAACACTGAACAAAACACATATAAAACTCATACCTTCCCAAACCCGAAATTCGGGTCGTCGGGTTGGGTTGGGGTGGTCTGGTAGGTAGTCAAACGGGTCGGCTGCACGGACACTCGCGCAAACGGTTCCCGCGTGAGGCCGCACGGAATCGCCGTGTTTTCAACGCGGTGTGCCACGCTGGTGGCCCGCATAATACGCGGCGTAAGTTCGCATGCCATATTGCGTAAGACCCTCTTGTTTGCGTCGCTAATGTCGCAACGAAACATGCGTGCGCGACTTGGCGCGAGCGCACATGGCCTGCACCCGCGCGCCACTCTCGCCTCTGCGGGCCCTGCTGGCGCCCGCCTCTCGCAGGCCCGTGGGGCCCCCCTGCGGCGCTCTCCAGGGCGCGCGGGTGCGCCGCGCCGCGGATGGGCGACGACGGCGCCGAGGGGACGGCGCCGCAGCTCGACCCGCTGGAGGCCGCGCGGGGAGGGCGCCGCCCCAGCCGCGAAAGCGGTAGCGGCGGCAGCACCAGCAGCAGCAACAGCAGCACCTCCTCTGCGGGCTCGGGCAGCGCCTTCTGCTCGTCCGCCGCCGCCCGGGCGCCCTCGCCGCCCGCGCCGCCGCCCCGGCCGCCGCCAGGGTCGCCCAACGACGCGCCGCCGCCCGCGGGGGTGGGGGCTCCGCCGCCCCCCGCGGACTCCCCGGTGCAGCTCTCTCGGGCGGGATCGCCGGGGGCTCCCGATGAGGCGGCGCGGCCCCCCGAGGGGCCGCCGTACACGCTGGCGAGCACCTGCCCGCCCCGCATCGGCGCGGAGGCGGCCGTCCCGGCCGAGGCGCCGCTGCTGGCCGCCGCGCCCAGGCCCGGGGCGGGGGCGGTCGTCTTGGCGCCGCCGCCGCCGCCGCTGCGGGCTGCGTTCGGGCTCGGCGCGGACACCGCCCGACTTGCCGAGGCCGAGGGGGCACCCCGCGATGGGCCCGCGGAGGCCTCGGCCTCAAGGCCGCATGGCGAGGGCGGCGAGGCCTCTGCGGCGGAGGGCGGCGGGCAGGGCCCCGGCGACGGCGCGCAGGACGGGTCCCAGGCGAGCGTCGACGTGCTGGCCGACGGGGGCGCAGCGGGCAGCCAGGTGGGCGGTGAACGCTGCGAAGGGCCTCTCGCCGGCAGTGCGCAGGGAGTGCGCGGAGGCGGCGGCGTGGCCAACGGCGAGGCCGCGGCGGTCCCGCAGCAGGCTGGGGAGGGCGGGCTCGCAACCAGCGAGGCTGCGCCGGGCGAGGCCGCGGCGGGCGAGGCTGCGCCGGGCGCGGCCGCGGCGGAGGAGGAGCGGCGGCCAGACGAGGGCGCGGCGCCCGCAGCGGTCGAGTCGCTGGAAGTGGCGCAGGCGGGCCAGCACGACCCCAGGCCGAAGCCCAGAGGAGGGTGGAAGCTGTTCGTGATGCGGCGCCCGCTCCTCGTCATGCTGCTGACGCACCTGGGCGTGTGGGGTGCGTGCGCTGCCCTCTACTTGCAGCAGAGCGCTGGGGCGCTGAACACCGACTTCGACAGCTTCACGCGTGCCAGCAGCCAGGAGTCGCTGAGCTTCGACGCGTTCGTGCACGCCTGGGAGAAATCTCGAACAAGAGACATCGGCATAAGCATCAACTTTCGGAGGTCCGCGCGGAGTTTGGGCGTCGGCGCTGGACCATCCTGGCGGCGCCTCTGGCGCTTCTCCGAGACGCGCTCCGCGCGCCGGGGAAGAGGGTCCAGCGCCGATCCAAGAAATCCGCGCGTCCCTGGCCTCAACCAGTGTATGCTCATGCCGTTTTTTTCTTTTTCTGAAATCCTACCTGTCACCAGTCTTGGACGACGATTCGGCGGCGCGGCGCCTCACGAATGCGGCGGAGTTTGTCGCCCCCCTGTACCGGAATTTCCAGGTGAGCGACGCAGAAAAACGCGTTCGATTGGCCGACATTCGTGCGTGCGTAAGATGCCCGCGTAAGATCGCGCGTGCCCTCGGTTCCAGTTTGGCGTGCCGCGCTGGCGGTCCGCGCAAGTCGCGGCGTAGGGTCGCTGTGCCATCTTCCGTGTAAGACCCGTTTCTCGTCGTCGCTCACCAGGCGACGTGGTCGGTACATCTCCATTGCCCCAGGCCAGGCCCATCTTGGGCCCACAAGCGGTGCATATGCCTCCCTGGCCAGGCCAGGAGTGCGCGAACGCCGCTCTGGGCCCCAGGACGGTCCTGGCCTAGGGCCGTGGATCTGTACAGACCTTTCCGCCCTAGCTCTGGTGACCGACGCGGCAAAGCAGGTTCGTCTGCGCCAACATTGGCGCGGAAGCTGCCCGCGTAAGGCCGCGCGTGAGCGCCTTCGTCTCTGATATAGCGTGCCGCGCCAGCGGCCCGCGTAAGCCGCGGCGCAAGATCGCTAAGTCATCTCGCGTAAGACCCGTTTGTGATCGTCGCTCAGGTGATCTACCGCAAGGACGGCGGCAACGTCTTGGAGCCTGCGTCCCTCTACGCGATCCGCCAGTTCGAGAGGAAGCTGCGCGCCCTGCCCCGTTGGCGGGACCTCTGCAGCGGCGCCGTCGCCGCGTGCGACCCCGGCGAGTCCATCGCTTCCTACCTGTGGCCGTCGGTTGCCCTGAAACGGTTCGGTGACCGCACCGTGTGGCGAGTCGGTGGGAATTCAGGTTTTTCTGACGTCTCCGTTGGGTCTTGGCGATTTTTTCCACACTCGGGATGCGTTCCAGCGGCTGCGCCTCGCTGAGATCGTTCCGAGGGTGCCTGGATCGCCCCGAGCGTCCGTTGGAAACCCGAGCCGTAGTTCGGAAACCGAACAGTCGGAGGAGAGCCGGTGTGGTGAGCCCGTGGGGATTCGGGGTCACTGCACGGTTTTGGGACTCGGGTCGTTCTCAGAGGATGTCTCGAGCGACAGGGGCCTCCGAGGTCCCAAAACCGCGCAGTGACGGGGGTGAGGCCGTTGGGGACTCCGAGGTCACCACATGGTTTTTGAACCCCCTAGGCCCGAGCGGCTCGAGAACGACAGCAGCCCCGACGTCGAACTGCTGCTGGGCGGCGGGGGGGCCCGGCTGCTGCCAGTCGAGACGGTGCTGGCGTCGTGGAGCGAGGACGGCGACATCGTCGACCGGCTGAGCCGTCTCCTGCCGACCGGCTTCGTCGCGCCCGTCGGCGGGGAAAGGTCGAAGGAGAGAACACGGCATAGTCATACATTTTCGGTGCTCCGCGCCGGTTTCTCGGAACAGTGCTGGGCCCCCCTGCCGGCAATTCGGGCGCCGCCCCTGGGGCGCGCTCCACCAGCCGAGGAGAGGTGGTCCAGCGCAGATCCAAGGAATTAGCGCGGACCTCCGACAGTGAGTGCTTATGTTGTTTTTGTTGGCTCTTCTAAAAGGGCCAGCAGCGAGATGGTCCGCAGCTTCTTCGAGTTCCAGGTCCCCTACGGCCCTGGACAGGCCCGCAGCAGTGAGACCGCAGCAGAGGAGTTTTACGTCGCACTCCTGGACGAGGTCGTCCACCCGGCGCTCATCGAGAAAGACGAAATCATGGAGGGCGAGGGCATCAGCGTGTATTATTGGAGCGAAGAGCTGGACAGGATCGACATCTTCTACGCCTTGCGAGTCGACTTGCTGATGGCTATTGGCGGCATTGTTCTCGTCTTTGTCGTGGTGCGACTGCACACCGGCTCAATCTGGCTATCTGTGGTCGGCCTGTTTTTGGTCCTGGAGTCCATCCCGATTGCCTACGTCTTGTTCAAGCAGATCTCTGGTCTGAAGGATGCAAGCATCATGAACACGATTTCGCTCTTCGTGATTATCGGGATCGGCTCCGACTTGATCTTTGTTCTGACCGACGGGTGGTACATCTCCAGTTGGGCGCTCCAAGAGCAGCTGGACTCCTTCAACCAGCTGTCCCCGCCCGAGCAGGCCATCCTCCAGATCTCGTGGCTCTTGAGGAACAGTGGAGCTTCCTGCGTGACCACATCGATCTGCTCTGCCACGAGCTTCCTGGTGAATCTGGGCAGCGTGCTGCTGCCTCTGCGCGAGTTCGGGCTGTTCATGGGCCTCTGCGTGCTCTGCGTGCTGCTGCTGCAGATGACGATGTACCCCTTGGCCATGGTCTCCCTCTGGGGCTCGCGCTGCGCCCCGCAGCCGATCGAGCTGACCCCCGTGGAGCCCGGCCAGGTTCGGGGCCTCCAAGCCTCCCAGACGTTGTCTGAGTAAAAGGGGTCAGAGGATCGCGCCGTATCGTCGATGCATCGGCGATGCGGCTCGATGTGTAGCCCTGTTTTTCCCACGCTCACGGCGCCGATGCATCGCCGACGTCGCCGATGCATCGCCAATGCATCGGCAATGCATCGGCGATGCGGCTCGATGTGGAGCTCAGTTTTATCCACGCCCACGGCGCCGATGCATTGCCGACTTCGCCTACGCATAGCCGATGCATCGGCGATGCGGCGCGATCCTCCGACTTTTTTTGCTTCGACCCCCTTGGGGAGGCCTCTAAATCTGGAGGCCAGCGGCACACGTGCGCACGCGTCGTGCGCGCGTGTTCGGGCTGGCGCAGCTTCTGGATCCTGATCGTGATCGGTCCTCTGGTTGCGAAGCAATCTCGACTCTTGTGTGGTAATTCACGGCTTCTGGGGTTCCGCACCGTTCCCCAGGACCGTCAAGAGATGACCCGGGATGAAAACACCAGTCCCAGGGAAGAGGTCCAGACCTATGAGGGTCGACGCTCCCAAAGATCCTGGGCTGGAGCCGCCGGGGTTTTGGCTATTTTCTTTCAGCCTCGGGGACCCACAACGGGCCCAGGGACCCTCAAACAACGACTCAGGATGAAAAGCCGGAGCTGTCCAGACTTCCAGGGGTCACGCCTCGACGAAAATCGGAGCGCCCGATGCCTGGGCTGTGAGACACGTCGCGACGAGGGAGGGCTCCCGGGAGGCCGCGCATCGGAGGGCTCCCGGGAGGCCGCGCATCGGAGGGAGGACGAGGGAGGGCTCCCGGGAGGCCGTGTATTTATCTGCTTTGCTCACTGGGAGGGCGCCCGGACGGCCCTGCCCACTGCCGGCGAGCCCGTGTCGGTTGCGCGCCAGAGCGGCCCTTCGCAGAAGGGGCCCCAGCGGTGCGCGGCTTCCGGGGGCGGGGGCAGGGCGGGGGGAGGGCGAGCTGACGCGCGCGGGCCGCTGCTGACGCCTTTGCATGCAGCGGCAGGGAGGCCGCGCATCGGAGGCCACTCCCTGCCCAGGGCACCTCCCGTCGTCGGAGGAGGGCCCGTCGAGGCAGCGGCGGCTCGCCAGCCTGGCCCACTGCCGCTCAAGAGCTGTCCCCGGGCCCCTCTCGGGGTCCATCCTGGCCCGTTTGCCGAGGCGGGCCCCGACGCGACCACGAGAATCCTCCAGGAGGCACACGAAGGCGAACAACGGCGGGCCGCTCTCGCCCAGAGGTCCCTCCTCCTCCCCGCCCGGGGCGGTGTCGTCGCCGACCTCGGTTCTCGCTCTCGCCTTTGCCCTTGTCGTCCTCGCCCTCTTGTCGTCCTCCTCGCCGTCGTCCTCGCCATCCTCGCCCTCGCCCTCGCCCTCGCCTGGGGGCGGCGTCCCAGGGAGAGCCGATGCGTGCCGGGAGGGCCCGTTGGGAGGGGCAGCGAGGGCTAGCTCCGCGCGTCGCGGTGCCCCTGGGGCGGCGCGGAGCTGGCGCGGCGGGCAAAGTCGATGCAACGCAGCCATGGAGTACAGTCAACGCGGACAGTAAGGATGAGCGACTTTCCAAGGTTACCCTCGCGTCCTTCCTCTTCGGCCCATCCTTGGCCACTCTTGCTGGCCGCGCCCTGCTCAAAGAGTTTCGACGTGGCCTTCCAAGGCCCTTGCATCCCAGTCGCGCATCCTTATTCTACCCGTTGACTGTATCGCGACGCACGGACTCTCGACGGGACCTGGTCCCGTGCCGACTCGGCGCGCTCCGTCGCCAAATCGGGCGGTGGTAGCCTCGCGTTTCGGGGCCTTCTCTCAGATCCGTGGATGCGGCGCTTACGCGCCAGATGCACGGATCCCCGATCCATGTTAGCGCTCGCCAGACAGGTGGCCACGAGGGTTGGGAGCAGCCCTGCCCCGATCTCCCACGATGTGTTTTCTGTTGTCCCTCCCGGCGTTTTTATCTTCGATCTTGGCCTCCGGGGCCCGCTGTCGGACCCCGGTCCTGGGACCGTCAGAAATGAATCGGGGGCGACCCCCCCCCCCCCTCCGGCGAAGGGGTCGGGACCTCAGGGGCCACGGATTGGCGGCGGCGGGCGCGATGTGGCGCGAGGTACGAGCTGGCTCTGGAGGGATACCCCTGCGTTCTTCGTGCCTGGGCCCCTCCCCCTCGGAGTGGCCCTCGTTTGGGGTATCTCCACGGGGCTTCGGGCACTCGGCCAAAGGGCGGGACGCGCTGAGCGCTTTGCGCTCGGACAGTTGCAGTGAATGCGATGTCGTCGTCGTCGTCGTCGTCGTCGTCGTCGTCGTCGTCGTCGTCGTCCTCGTCTCCCTGTCGTCATAAGGACCAGTCCACGTTGGGCTCAGGCGGGGCTCTATTTTTCGGGGGCCGTTCCTTAGATTGCCTCAGATTTGGGTCGGGGAATGGCTCGAGCAGCTCCTTCGTTCATCACTCGGCGCTCCATATGGTGGGGCGATGACTGCATCGGAGTCGCGAAGAGAGGCATCAGCGTGAGGCGCGAATCGTTCCTGAGCGCCCTGCAACGCCCTCGGAGCGCTCCAGAACGCCCTGGAACTTGCTGCTGCGCCGGACACGTCCTCTGGACCCGCCGGCTCTCAGAGGTCCTCTGAGGTACCCATCGGTTGCTGAACTGAGCTATTTTTGGTCCCAAGATCCCAGTATATTTGAGGCGCCTTCCGATTTCAAGGACCGGTTGGTTTTCTCTCTTTCTTCGTCTTCAGGGGGTTGTCGGAGATCCCAAATAAGTCCAACGCCTTCCTGCTTCATGCTTCTATCCACTTCTTGCGACCGATGGGTATCTCTGCCCGATTCTGTCTCTGTTCCACCTTGGCCCTATCAGTGTGCGTGATTCCGCCCTCGGAGTTTCATTTTGGCTCTCGATCGCCCCGTCGATGGCCGATCTATCGACGATGTATCGCTGATTCCAGGTCGATCTTTCCCCCCCCCTCATCCCTCCTCCTTCTCCCTCCTTCCTTCTGCCTCCTCCCTCCCTCCCTCCTTTCTCAGTCCTCCTTCCTCCCTTCTCCATCCTCCTCCTCCTCCCTCCTCCCTCCTCCCGCCTCCTCCTCCTCCTCCTCCTCCTCCTCCTCCTCCTCCTCCATTCCTTTTCCTTATGAAAAAGTTCTCCCTGTCGCTCCCCGAGGCCAGTTTTTAGGGCGGGTCGGGCGTTTCGCTTGAGACTTTGCTCACCATTTATGACCCTGAAGCTTAAACATTGGGAACAGTTTTACAGATGGAGGGCGGATCGTTTTCAAAATGCGGCTCTCGCTTCAGCGCCGCGCACATTCGTTTTAAACATTTGCAAGAGTTTCACGGATGTAGGGCGGTTCGTTTTCAACATGTGGCTCTCGCCTTAGCGCCGCGCACATTCGCGTTCAACATTCGTAAGAGTTTCATAGATGGAGGGCGGGCCGTTTTCAAAATGTGGCTCTCGCTTCAGCGCCGCGCACATTTGTGTTAACCAGTTGCAAGAGTTTCACGGATTGAGGGCGGGCCTTTTTCGAAATGTTGCTCTCGCCTTAGCGCCGCGCACATTCGTTTTCAACATTTGCAAGAGTACCACTGATTTCCATGATCAGCGTGACAGGAATGGTGTTTTGGCCGGATTCAGGATTATGAGGGTGCAACAGTTACGTAAACTCGCGGTGTTGAAATCCCTGGAATAGCGTTCTGGCACGATTCAGGATCGTCACGACGCAATTGTCATGTTTATCAGTGGCGTCGGATGTTTTGGCATGTTTCAGGGTCTTCAAACGGTCGTCTTTCAACGAGGCAGTTCCCTCAGTGGAAATGAACCTCTGCAGGGGCCTATGAAGATGGAGCTTGGAGGGAGAGCTTATTCCAACATCGTTGATGACTCTTGGGTCTACACTGGTCACTCCTCCTCCTCCTCCTCCTCCTCGTCCTCCCCCTTGACAGCGATCTGTACAGGGATTCACGCGGAGCTTCCCCGAGAGCACGTCCCGCGGGTCTCCCCTGTCCCAAGCAGGGCGGCCTTCCATCCTCAGAAAAGCGCTTTGTATCTGGCCTGCTCGTGAGGTGACCATCGCCGGGGGGATCGGCCCTCGAGGACCTCGACAGGCGGTGGATGTGGACATATTTGGGCCTTCTGGGCCATATTATAATTATCCATATGCACCGCCCACTGGGGTCCCAGGACGTCGGTTCCTCAGGCGGTGGATATGGATATATATATATATATATATATATATATATATATATACACATCCCCACCTCGTTCATTCTGCTGTTGAAAAATACATTTCCCTCCCTCCCCTCGTCTGAAAGGTTCGTCCCTAGGCCGTGGCGAACGAGGCTGCGCATCTCGTTCACGGCAGGTGGTAGGCGCACTGCCAGTGCTCCGCCGCCGTCGTGTCACGTATCACCTCAACCGGCTTGGCAATGAAGGCCAGGCCCCATTTTGAGACACCCGAGGAAGACTCCTCCGTGCTTCGCACCGACTTCGCCAAGCGGGACTGCGGGGACGAATAATTTCGGGTGGCGACGAGATGCGGACGTGCACGGCTGGAAGCTCTGACTTTGGCATCCTGACCGCTCCCCCGTGGATCTGATCCCTCCGCCCCGAGGGACTGCCCCAAAACGCCATCGGTGGCCGAGCCTACGCCTTGCGGATGCCTCCTCCTCCGCCGCTGCATCCTCCCTGTCGTTCGCCGCCTCCCCAGTGGCCTTCTCAGTAGTCCCGCGTCCTTTCGGATGCCCCCCTGGTCAACCTCCGACTGTACCAGTTCAGAGCCCTCCTGGCTTGGCCTTGGAGGCATATACACCGATCCTGGGCCCAGGGTGGGCCCGGCCAGGATCGGTGAGCCAAGGCGCGGGCCCGCAGTCGGAGGGGCGCCGTCGCCGAATGGGCTCGTCACGGCAGGGGCGCGCCCGAGGAAGCAGTGTGACGGTCGGAGAGAAGCCGTGCCTGCAGCCCCGGTGGTGTCGAGCTGTCGGAAGTGCGATGATCCGATGGAGACACGATAGCCAGCGTGGACCCCAAACAGTGACGTCTTGCAACCCACGCAGTGCACTCAAGGTGGTGCAATCCAAATCTATGTGGTGAGAAATAGCGCGTAGCAATCCGTAGCAATGCAAACCAACACAGCAATGACACGCAAAGCAAAGCATTGCAAAGCAGTGCAAAACTAATGCAAAGCAACGCAAAGCAATGCAATACACAGCAGTGAATAACAGTACAAGGCAATGCAATGCAAAGTAACGCACCGCAAGCATCAAAGCAATGTAATTCGATTAATACCGCTGACCAATGCAATGATCAATGCAATGATCAATGCAATGATCAGTGCAACGATCAATATGATTCAATGCACCGCAATGCAATGCAGTGCAACGCAGTGTAAAGCAATGCAGAGCAATGCAACGCATTGCCAAGCAATGTAACGCAATGCGCAGCGATGCAAAGCAATGTAAAGCATTGCAATCCAGTGAACGTCAACGCAAACTACTGCATCGCAGTGCAAACCGGTACATCGCCATGTCAATCAATGCAAATCAATGTAACGCAATTCGAAGCAATCCAACGTAATGCAAGCCGATAGGGACCAACGCAAAATAATGCAACGCGACGAAGAACCGATGCACAGCAATGCAACGAACAGCAAAGCAGTGCAATGCAGAGCAGTGCATCGCAATGTTAAGCAATGCAAAGCAATGCAACGCGACGCAATGCTATACAAAGCAATGCAGCACAAGGCAACGTAAGACAACGCAATGCACATCAACACAGACCAGTGCAAAGCAAGGCAACGCAATGCAAAGCAATGCAAAGCAATGCGACTGAAATCAATGCAAAGCAATGCACAATGATACGATTTCAATGCAAAGTAATGGAAACCAATGCAAAGCACCGCAGTGCAAAGTAATGCAGTGCAGTGCGATGTCAATACGACTGTAGTGCGATTGCAATGCGAGGGACGGGCGGCGACGGGCGGAAACGAGCCGGCCGGATCGGCACTGGGCCCCAGCGGCGACGGCGGCAACGGGCGGCGACGGGCGGCATTGGGGCCCAGCGGCGACGTCAGCGACGGGCGGCTACTGGCCGCAACCAGCTGTCCAGACCGACATTGGAGCGCAGTTAGCTTAGAAGCCAAGTAAGAGCCCCTAAGTGCAAGGACTGTTGGGGGAACAACGACATCAACAGAGATTGTCGGAGGTCCGCGCGGAATTCTTGGATCGGCTCTGAACGCCCTTCCTGGCGAGCGGAGCGCGCCTGGGGCGGCGCCTCCGCGCGCAGAGCTGGGGTTCCAGCGCCGATCCAAGAATTCCGCGCGGACCTAATGTTTCTGTTCCTGCCAGTCTTTTTCCTTTCGGAAACCCGATGGTCACCGCCACCACCACCACCCATCGGTGCAGGGAAGAGGGGGGTGAGGATCAGGGTGGGGGGCGGGGTGTCATGGCCTTGGCCCTCCTGGCGGCGCCTCCAGCGCCGACCCTGGCGCGCTCCCCGCCAGGGAGGGGAATTCCTGCGCCGACTCGAGAGCTCCACGCGCCCCTCCAAAGGTTTGTTGTCCTTTCTCTCTTCTTCTTCTTCTTCGCTCCTGTGGCCCTGCTTCGCCACGCGTGCAGGGTCGCCGGGTCGCCCGCGGGAGCTGCGAAGGCCGCCGCCTTTCGCGCGTTGCGGTCCAGGTGTCGGGGGTTGCCCTTCTCTCTGTGGGGGCAGCGCGGGGGCGCGAGGATGATGGCGCGTCGCGCGCCGCGGGGCGCGGCGCGTGAGGTGAGGTGACCCAGGGATACGATGGGTTCGTGTCATGCCGGCGCGGCGGCGAGTGCGATGCGGGCGTTCGAGGCTGAAAGCCGCCCGGGGCCCAGAATCGGCCGATTTGACGATCGAGATGCCGCCGATCGTCCGAGGTCGAGCGATCCACGCGGTGTCAGAAGCCAACGCCGGGGCTGTTGCGCCACGAGCCTGCCGGAGGGGACACCTCGGGGCCAGGCCGAGGCTCCGCGGTGGCGCTGTTTCCCTGCGAAGGGCACCTTGAGGCGCAGCTTCGCGTGTCCCCCAGCAGGACTCCCTGCAGAGGACCACGGATTCCGACGAGCTGCGGCGCCTGTCCTCAAACAGGTCCTCGAGCAGCAAGGCACGGCACAGGAGAGTAAGGCGACGCCCCAGGCTCGCTAGACCTATCTTCACAAGACTTTTTGGTGGATGTTGGGTTACCTGCATATCTCGTGTGAGGATCAAGCTGCTTGCGTTCTTTGTTCTCTTTGCGATAGTGGGGCTCGTCGGCGTCCTATCCATGATCAGAGTGGATAGCGGCTTGCCCGTCATCTTCCCAGACAGCCATAACCAGGTGTCTGGCTTGAGATACAGAGAGCAGTTCGACGATGTGATAGGGCTGGCAGCCGTGTCTGTCCTCCACAAGCCGTGGTTGCGCGACCTGACCTCGGAGCCACACTCAGGATGCCAAGACTTAGATTACAGATGCGGCCAGTTCGTGTTTCCAGATGCCTGCCCCAGCTTCGCGCACCCGGTTTGCAGGAACCCCCGGGTGGATGACTAAATTTCTGCGCCTCGGACCCCTTTCATTACCATCATCATGTTTTCAACTTGCCCAGCGCTTGTTTCTGTT